AATTCAGCCTGTGTTGTGATTCATCAAGCACAAACAAAACTGTTTCTTTTTGTTTTAAAATCAAACATTTTTATGTTCAGGTAGGCTTGTCTAGAGGGAGGTAAAACAGCAATTGATAATTCAATATTTTCCAGTTTTGTTTCTAATCTGCACTTGACTTGATGCTGCAGCCATGAATCATCATTAAAACTTAAAATGAGGGTAAAGTTAATGGAAACAATTTTAACTTAACCCACCCACCAAGTAACTGTCAGAATCAGATACAGATCTAGTTTTCCGCCTGCCCAGTTTTATTCTCTATTGAAGTCAATGCAGAATATTATTGGGTGGAGTGTAAATTTGGTGTTCCGCCTGACTCCATAGGTTTCCTGCCTGGCAGGTCAGGTTAAAATTGCTCTTTTGCTGTCAGCATGGCTCCATTGGTGGCATTATGTCTACAAGTTTGGAGACTGTGAGTTCAGTTTTCAATCCAGTACCTGAGCATGTAATTTTGGGGAGCCTTTCACTGGGACGCTGTGAAATGGATTGATTGTTTGATTGATTGATTGTTGTCACGTGTGCTGAGATACAGTGCAAAGTGTTGTTTTGCATGCTATACAGGCAGATCATACCATACAAAGTTCATCAGGGTGGCTGAACAGAGTGCGGAATACAGTTTTACAGTTGCAGAGACAGAGATCAGAATTAACATTTGAGAGTCTGTTCAAAAGTCTGATAACAGTGGGGAAGAAGCTGTTCTCAAATCTATTCGGAAATGTATTCAAACTTTTATATCTTCTGCCTGACAGAAGAGGGTGGCAGAGAGTATAACTGGGGTGGGAGGGGTCTTTGATTATGTTGGTTGCTTTCCCGAGGCAGCAGGAAGTATAGATGGAGTCAATAGATGGAAGGCTGGTTTGCATAATGGTCTGGGCCGTGACCTTGTTGTAAGTGTTGTCATCCAGATGGGAGATGAAATGAGGCTTAATGTCCTTCTTGGGTTAAAAGAAGTACAGATATTAAGTTTGGAAATGATGATGTTTAATTTGTTTTGGTTTCACAGTTTCTGATGCACAATGCTTTGAAACTCAGCTTCTTACTAAAGAAGGGAATGGAATACTGTCATCTACATTTTTACTTTTGTCCTTTTGAAGCCCTTCGAATTGGAATTTGTGAAAGGAATAGTTTGTAGGAGGAAGCATCACTGTATCTATAAACTCATTCTAACTATACAATTACTCAAATGCGAACAATGATATCTTATTGCAAAGTGGTGTCTCAGGATTGTGTAACATTGAAGAATCCCACAGAGTCTGACTTCAAATCTGTGGGACATGGAATATTCAATATATGGAAAGATGTTTTCCCTGGAAGAATGTGTGCGGAAAAACAATTCTGTTTCCTCGGGCCTGTGCTATATTTAGCTCCCCACAACACCTGGAAGTGCGATATTCAGATTCCAGATGTTGCAGCCTGCCTTATGCACCTTACCAAAGTGGCTAGCAGTCCATAGTAAAAGCAACCTGTTCAGAGACATTATTGCACACCTTGGAGCAGGCAGGGCGTGAACTAAACCTTCTGGATCAGAGGCAGGGGCACTACCACTGCACCACAGGCATTATACTCTATTGGAGTCAGTGATATTGACAAACAATTTGAGTTCAGAGTAAGGGAGATAAGGGCTCTGTTGTGGCGCAGTGGTAGAGTCCCTACCCCTGGACTGGGAGGCCAGGGTTCAAGTCCACCTGCTCCAGAGGTGTGTAATAACACCTCCAAACAGGTTGAGTAGAAAAAAATAGGTTAAAGAAAACAACTTAAAGAGAAGAAAATTACAGTAAGAGAGATGGAGTCTGTGGCATGGTGGTAGTGTCCCTGCCTTTGGATCAGAAGGCCCGGGTTCAAGTCCCACCTGCTTCTGAGGTGTGAAATGACATCTCTGAACACAGTGATCAGAAAAAATAAACAGAGATAACAGAGGTATCATTGCTAACCTCAGTGTCTGCTTTCACGTCTCTAAATGAATTTTCCAGCAGGTGTTGCCCCTTAGTGTTAAGAAGCACCAGCTCTGACTGTCTTTTGTAGCCGTTTCAGCCAACTATATGAATTTGTGTGGCAGATGCGGTCAATGATACAACAGTATTATCAGGTTGGCAATTAACATTGTCAGACTGTCAAAAAACATGCAAGCTTGACATAAAAATTCTGTTTCTAAGACAACATTCCTTCAAAATAATAAAAGGATTATAGACCACTTAAAATGTCACTTCAAACATGGTTTGAGAATAGAGCTATCAGAATGTAGTGTGATGTTTAATAAGTGAATCAACTGCTGAAGTGAGTATTCTTACTCAAATATGAGCTAATTTAATTACAGTGATTCCTATATTCCAAAATAATTAAAATAGAATTGAAAAAGCCTTCATTTTCTACCTACCCTCTATATTTCCCTTCCTCTTCATCTGTTTTCTATTCTAGTTAATCTTACTTTCATCCTTTTATTAAAGCTCAGTTGAGTCTGACAAAACTGATAACATATCAGAGCCATAAAACTAGAAACAAAAGAGAAGTTTTTCTTCCCTGTGTCTGAGGTGTGTTTAAAGGAAGAATGTGTGATGAAAAGCCTGTATGTTAACTGAGTAACATTCAGTGCCCAGCAACATGTTATACACAAGCCTTATCTTGATACATAAACCAGATCTTGACAACTACATTGTATGAGGCTGCAAGTGAGGCTAACTTGATAGCTATCAAGTGTCAAGGTTATGAGTTACCATTTACTTGTGAATGGAGATTGTTATCATATCTGACTTCCAAGACCTTATCTGTACACTTGAAAGTCTTGCATGTAGAATGTTTTGTATCTTAACTGTGCCTGTTGTGCAGGAATATGCTGTACCATCTCATAAAAATTTCACTTCCGGATAGAAAATTCACTTGCATTGATATAGCACCTTTCATGGAGTCATGAGTCATAAAATCATGAGGGCATAGAGACCATTCAGCCCATCAAGCCCATGTTGTCTTATTGCAGTGCAATCTAATCAATTCCATTCCCCTGCTTTACTCTGGTAAATCTGCAAGATTTCTTTCCTAAAATGGCCATTCAGTTTCCTTTTAAGATCATTTATCATCTCCACTTCCATTACTTTTGTAGGCAGATCATTATCACTCACTGTTTTTCCTTGCATCCTCTCTCTTGTTGTCAAAAATCTCAAGTTTATGTCCACCATCCCCAGTTTCATCAGCTGTTGGTAACAGTTTTGATTTGAACCTTAGCAAACCCTATCATAATCTTGTACATGTCTATCAACTTTCCCCTCAATCTCATTTACTCTAAGGAGAACCATCGCACCTTCTCCAACTTAACCTTTTAGCTGAAAGCCCCCACCCTGGAACTATTCTAATTAATCTCCTTTTGCACCCTCTCGAGGATCCTCACATTGTATGGTACTTTATGGTCACTGAAGTGTCATAGAGTCGCACAGCATGGAAAAGACCCTTTGGTCCAACTAGTCCATGCTGACCGTGTTCCCGAGCTAAACTAGTCCCACGTGCCTGCACTTGGCCCATATCCCTCCAAACCTTTCCTATTCATGTACTTATCCAAATGCCTTTTAAACATTGTAACTGTACCTGCATCCACCGCTTCCTCTGGCAATTCATTCCACACATGAACCACACTCTGAGTAAAAAAAAAATTGCCCCGTGTGTCCTTTTTAAATCTTTCTCTTCTCACCTTAAAAATACATCCCCTAGTTTTGAACTCCCTCACTCTAGGGAAACACACACCTGAGTTTACCTTATCTATACCCCTCATGATTTTATAAACCTCAATAAGGTCACCCCTTAACCTCCTACACTCTGGTGAAAAAGTTCCAGCCTTTCCAGTCCAATTTTATATCTCAAGCCCTCCCTTCCTGGTAATACCCTGGTAAATCTTTTCTGAACTCTCTCCAGTTGAATAATATCCTTCCCATAACAGGGTGACCAAAACGGTACACAATACTCCAGAAGATGTAGTTGCTATAGTAAATGTTGGCACACAGCAATCTCCCATGAAAAGTAATGAGATAAATAAACACAAAATCTATTTTTGTGATGTTAGTTTATAGCTAAATATTGCCAATAACACCAGAAGGATTCCCTGCTCTTCTTAACTAATGCCATGAGGACCTTCATTAAACCCCAGCAGAAATGTCCCATTGATATCTCATTCAAAAGACAGCACCTACATCAGTCCAGCAATCCCACAGTTATGGAATGAAGTGCCAGACTAGATTATTTGCTCCAGTTCTGAGGAAGGGTCCTCGGACCCGAAACGTTAACTCCATTTTCTCCTTCACAGATGCTGCCAGACCTGTTTTCCAGCAATGTTGTTTTTGTTCTAGATTATGTGCTCAATGTTCTGTAAAGAAATAAACCTGCAGTCTTTCATATTCAGAGTGAGCAAGGCAGTCATTGGATACCATTGAGCCAATGCTGCTTTCTCATTCTCTCTCTCTCTAAATCCATTCTAAAAAAATTGACAAAATATTAAGCAAGTCTAAAAAATAAATACAGTATTTACCATGAATTACTAATCTCCACCGTCTCAGTCCTTTCTTGTCTTCCACTCACCCTCCTTTCTATTCCCTCGTTCTTCTTCCCTGCATGAACTCTAACCCCCTCACAGTAATTCTCCTGCTCTCCCTGTCCATGTGACTTCTCTCGCTCTTTTGTCCCATTTTCCTTCATCCCTTTTGTACACACAAGTTGTCCCATGCCATCAATGCCCACTGTGCCCTTAGTCTCTACTTCCTATGAACAGAACTGTGAGGAGGAGGGTGGTAGCCTGATCATTCGATTTTATGCACAACTTTGACATTATTTTAACTTAAAGTGTTTCACAATAATACAGAGTAATCAATCTCCTGCCCTCTCAGACTGTACGCCTGCAATAACTATAGTTTGCATTTGTAAGTGAAAATGTTTATGATCAGCAAAGATTGCCTACTGACATTTCCTTGTGTATTCATTTCCAGTGTTCCACCTCTCCAGCAAGGTGACGACTGTAGTGCCCGAAAGCTGTTTGCTGATCTTTCTTGGTTTAGGCCTTGGCGGGATAGTCCTTGCAGCTGCCAAGAAGCCAGAGTACCAGCTGGACCCAGATACCTTCTTCCTCTTCCTTCTTCCGCCCATTGTGCTCGACTCAGGATACTTCATGCCCAGCAGGCTCTTCTTTGACAACTTTGGTGCCATTCTGATGTACGCAGCAATCGGCACCCTCTGGAATTCATTCACAACCGGAATAGCACTTTGGGGCATCAAGCTAGCTGGGCTCATGGGTAAGTTGCAGTCCAGCATGACCCTTGCTGTATTTACCATTGCGGATCAATCTATACAGTGACAGAGCTCTCCGCTGTCCACAAAGGACAATGTGAGAGCCTTAAACAGTATCTGGGCTGATAAATACAAATGCTTATCTTTTTTCCAAGCTTAGCTGTTGGGATCTTTTCTCCCACCAGCATTAGAAGGTTGAGTCTGTATCATTTTACCTGTCTACAATCAGAGTTGTGCAATTACAGTGTCCAGAATCTATTTATCCATGTTCCTTCAATTCAGTATTTTGTCTGTGTTTCCTATTGACTTGTGCTTGCAATTTAGGTCCATTCATAACTTTTGTATCTGGTAATGTGACACTTAGATGGGTTTGAGCCAAGGCACTGCATAAGGAGCTCTAATAAGGTGCTGATTGGTGCTGCAGTTAAAGCTGTTAGTCTGCTTCATTCAGTTGTTGATAATAAGCAGCCCTTGGAACAATTTAAAGTGAGAATTTTACAAGGTGCCTGTTGGAAATCCTGGTGCATAAAAGATTTAAGATGTAATTTCATCGTCCTAATCTCCTTGGGGTTAGTCTTAATTCTGAAAATGAAGAGATATTTGGTTATACCTTGCTCCATTTTCCTTTTTCATTGCCTTCAACATCTTAGACTATCATCAAACATGAAAACAGTGTCAGCATAGAAACTGCACACAAAAGGAACATGGACAGGGTTGTAGTCTTAAGGCCTGTTTCTGCTACTATATGATGTTGTGACAGACCTTTATAAGGTCATGGCTCTGCCTCAACTGTGTCCCATTCTAGGCATCACTTCAGGAAAGATGTGAAGGACTTAGAGAAAGGATGCAAACAGATTCATGAGAATGATCCCAAGAATGAGGACTTCAACTAGATGACAGATTGCAGAAGTAGTGGTGGGGAAGAGATGGTTGAGAAGGAATTCGACAGTATTCAAAAGTTATCAAAAGTCTAAACAGGAAGGCCATGGCAGAAGGATCGAGTAGTAGAGGACACAGATTTTAGGTGTTTTAGAAAATTAACCACAGTTGGTATGAGGATAAACTTGTCTACATATTGAATGGTGGGATGCAGTGCCTGAAATGGTGAAGCTGTGTGTAGTTGTTTTTTTTAAAAAGGGAGTTAGATATGCACCTGAAGATTGGAGAGCCTATGGGGAAGATGGAAGGAGTGGGACTCTCAAATTGCTCTTGCAGAAAGCGGGAACCTGCTCAATGGTCTGAATTGGTTTCTCTGTGCTGTAACCATACTAGGATTTAATGTTGTCAGTGAACACAGCCCACCAACTGTAGCTGCAGGATTGCAAAATCACCATTTAGCTCATTTACTCAAACTCATTTCCCTTCTTCAACTTCCTTCTGTTGAGTCTGTTCCTCAGTTTCGTATGGAATCACCGAATGGGCTTAAAATATAGCAGTCAGTACAGAGAAAAAATATTTCAAAGCAGGCGTAAAATGAAAGCAGGCAACATGTTATATAAAATAAGTTATATGCTTCCAGATTTGGTGGTGGTGGTGGGACGACAACTGGCAGTCAAAAATTAGATAATGATGTGCACATATAACACTTGTACCTCTCTTCCACGTGTACTTTTGCACCCATCATATCTCTGGAGAGTGGGCACTTTGAGACCTTCCACGACCATTAGGCACCACATGGGCTGCAGTGCATCATGAATGAAACATTTGGTTTTAATTTATAATATTTCCTTTTAAGTTTTGTTTTTGCTGCAATGCCCATTTAAAGAGCTGTTCATCTGTTAATTTTTTGATTTGAACGTTATTTACTCGACAGAGCAGAAAGCAGCTTTTCCCATTTAAGGGGTGTTTGTTCTGCTCGGTTGTCACTTTAATGTTTTATTTTGCTCAAAAGACTAGGGGCACTTTTTCCCAGTGATCATGGGAAAGGAGTACATGGTGTCCACTGATACATGTGAGGTCATCCATGAACAATGGGCTATACAAGGGCTGGAGTGCATTATCAACCCTGAGAATGACTTTTTAATTTAACTTTATAAGTTTCCATTGGAGTTTTTGTTTTTGTTACAGGGTCCCTTATCAGTTAATTGATTTATTTTATTCATTTGGTGTAGTCAGAAATAACTCCAGCGATGGCGTGGAGAGTGAGGAGTATATGTGTAATGTCTCACTTTGTCAAGACCTAAAGCTCCTTCGCTAACTGGCTGTCAGATATTTAACATTTTCGCATGTTGGTCATTGACATAACTGCTGGCTGATTAATTCAGGTCAGATTTGACTCAAATCCAAAAGGCATGTTTGTTGATTGCAAACATTGATCTGCTTTCCTACAGTAGCAGGTGCTGGGATTGAATTATAGTCAGATGAGAGATGACGTTGATGTAATATGTGTGAACAATAACATGACCCAAACATAAATCATTCTGGTGAGCACTGTTGGCTGATCAATTTTGTCAAAGGACTGTTTTACCCTTTTTTTTTGAAATCCTTTTCATTTCTAACACACAGTTTAAATGATTGCCTCCTCTTGCATACTGCTGCCATTATTTTTGATGCTTTAACCACAGTTGGGTACTAATAGCTAATGGGGAATCATGTTTGGTACAATGTACTGCCATAGAATTTAGGGCAGGAATGCAGAGGCTATGGAAGCTGACAGATGCAGCACTCCTCCCCTGCTTTGAATTAAACACAAGCTTTAATTTGTTGGTCTGGCGAAGATTGAAGAGCTTGAAGAGTACGAAGCTTGTCTTGGGATGAAGTGTTTTGGTTGAATTTCAGTGTAACACTATACAATGTTTAGGATAAAATGACTCAATAAGAGATTCTCCATTACAATGTATCGTTGTGTAAGCCATGCCTCAGTTTTTAGCACTCTTACCTCTGAATCATAATTGAAGTCTCACTCCAGAATCTAGGCTGACTTTATAGGACAGAACTGAGACAGTGATACACTACTTAGCCAGTTCTTCTTAACCTGTTCTGAAGAAGGGTCACTGGACCTGAAAAGTTAACTCTGATTTCACTCTCCAGTTGCTGCCAGACCTGCTGAGTTTTTCCAGCAATTTCTGTTTTTGTTTGAGAAAATCCATTAAAAGGTATTGTGGTACATAGGCACTTTAAATTACATTACTTAGCTTACAGCAGCTATACATTGCTTCAAGGCACAAAAATCCAAAGGAAGTCAGTGAACCATGGCTAACAAAGGAAGCCAAGGATTGTAGATGTGTAAAAGAAAAGGCCTACAAAGTTACTAGAAATAATGGTAAACCTAAGGACTGGGAGGCTTTTAGAATACAACAGATGACCAACAAAATTAAAAAGGGAAGAATACAATGTGAATTTAAACTAGCACAAAATGTAACAATGGACTAACATAAATTCAATTGGTATGTAAAAAGTAAGTCTTTGACTCAGGCTTATGTGGGTCCATGACAAGCAGATTCAGGAGAATTTACTGAGGAATGGAGAACTGGCACAGAAACCAAATGATTATCTTTGTCTGTCTTCCTGATGAAAATTCAAGAAATCTCTCAGAATCAAAGATCCAAATGATGAGGGAGAATGAGGAATTGAAGGAAATTAGTAAGTAGGTCAAGCTGGAGAAATTAATGAGAATGACTAACTGATAAATGCCAGTACCTAATTTCAAAATACAGAACACTGAAAGGGATACCGTGGAGATAGATGATGCAATTGTAATCATTTTCCAAAGTTCTGTAGATTCTACAATGGTTCCTGCAGGTTGCAAATTGCAAATGCTACCTCACTATTTAAGAAGAGAGAGAGAGAGAGAAAACGGAACTGTAATCCCGTAAACCTGACATCAGTAGGAAAACATCTAGAATCTGTGATAAAGAAGGTGATAAATCGATACTTGGGTAATAATGATTTGATTGAGCAAATGCAGCATGATTTTATGAATGGGAAATTGAGTTTGACAATCTGTTGGAGTATTTCAAGGATGTTGCTAACATTATTGATAAAGGGCAGTCAGTGGATGTAGTCTGGCAGGCTTTCGATAACTTCCACCACACAAGGTTGTCAGCAAAATTAAAGCACAGCGATAGGAGGCAGTGTGCTGATGTGGATAAAGGATTGGCTAACAGACAGAAAACGGAGAGTGCTAATAAACGGGTCATTCTCACACTGGCAGGGTGCTACTGGTGGGATACCACAAGGATCAGAATTTGAGCTCCAACTGTTCACAATCTATATCAATGATTATTAAATGTAAAATTTACAAGTACACATATGAGACAAAGCTAGGCGGGATTGATTGTTGTGAGGAAGGAGCAAAGTGGCTTCCAAAGGATTTGGACAGACTTAGTGAGTGGGCAAGAATATGACAGATGGGAAGTAATGTGAAAATAATGAGGTTATCTATTTTGGTAGAAAGAACAGGTGTGCAGATCTCACGTTCCTTCTAATTTGTCCAGCCGCTGCACCGACTCCAAGGTCTGTGTGCGGCAGCAGCTGGAGAAACCGGAAGTGCATGTGTCGGCATGTCGATTGGCATGCACGGACCCTCGGAGTAGCCGTGCAACTTAGAAAGAATCCTGGTGCTAAGTGCCTCTGAAATAGTAAGAGGATGTGAAATGTACAAGGGGTCTTGGGTGTCCTTGACAGTGAGTTGCTGAGGGCTGTCAGGCATGTGTAGCATGCTAATGGAAAGTCGTACGGCATGTTAGTCTTCATCATAAGAGGATTTGAGTACAGGAGTTGTTACGATTGTATAGGAGTTTGGTTAGACTGCACCAGCAGTATTGGATACAGAGTTGGTCTCCTTGCCTTTGCAAGGATATTATTGTTTTTAATGGAGTACAACAAAGGTATGCCAGACTTGTTTCTGGGATGGTAGGACTGCTCTCTGAAGAAGGATTGAGAAAATTGGGCAGGTACTCTCTGACTGTTTTGAAGAATGACAGGTGACCTCATTGGAATCTATAAAATACTTAAAGGGATAGACAGAGCAAATGCAGGTAAGATTTCTGTATTTGTCTAGAACCAAAGGATACAGTTTCAAAATTAAAGGGATGACACACGGTACCAAAATAGGGGAGGTTTTATTTTATTCAAAGGGGAGTGAATCTTTGGAATTCTCTACCCCAGACGACTGTGGAAGCTCCAACACTGAGTATGTTTAAAACTACAGACTGACAGATTTCTAAGTTCAAAGGATATGAAGAGATTTGGGAATGATTCGGGGGGGTGGACGATACTATGGCTTTAAGAGGTGAATGTTGTCCTTTTTGTTTGAAGAGCGGTTTTGAGCCACAGATGACGAGCTGTCTCTTCTAAGCCTATAAAGTAAACAGCTTGTGAGGCTTTGATTTTTTTTATGGTTGGAACAATAGAGAGAGCATGAATGAGTGGAGTTAGGCTCCCACAGAACCAGGGTTTTGGTTTACCTTTCAGTAGTTGGGGTTTTGAAACTGCCATACATACCTCCCTGCTACAGCAAAATGCTTGCATTCTCTCCCGCTCTGCCAGAATTTTCTCTTGATGTTCTTTCCTCCTGGACTGGAGAAATGTTGCATGTGAAACAATCTATTTTACTGAAATTGCCTTTACCAAGGGTGTCTATGGGATGTTGCTATATTGGAACAGCTGCTGTTTAGTAGTTAGATAATTGATTGTTCTATTAAGTTTTCCAATAGAGTTAAAGTTGTGCCAATTCTTCTCTCTTTTGTTGGTATTTTAAATAGCAGTAAAAATAAAGTGGTGTTTTGCTTAAAGCCAAGTAGTGAGACCAATCAAATTAGATCTTGTACACAGCACTTTACACTTGCCTATAAATAAGAGTCAGGGTCTAGGCAAATCCCTTGATATATTGTGGGGGGGGACGTTGGTCTGATCCATAACAGAGGAAAAAAAGCATTAAAGGTGAATGATCAGCAATGATCGTATTGATTAGCAGAACAGGCTCAGTGGGCTGAATGGCCTGCTCCTGTTCCTCTGCTCCTAACCTGGAAGGGTTTGTATTCACTCACTGAATTCTGAAATACTATATTTATTGTAGAAGTGATTTTCTCTAATATCTTGCTCATTTTCTTCAGATCCTAAAGTGGAAGCAGATTTGCTCGATTTCTTGCTTTTTGGCAGTCTGATATCTGCCGTGGACCCAGTGGCAGTAATAGCTGTGTTTGAGGAAGTCCACGTTAATGAAACTCTGTTCATCATTGTGTTTGGAGAGTCGCTCCTTAATGATGCTGTAACTGTTGTAAGTAAACACTTGTTTTGCATTTGCATATTACACTTTGTAATCTACAGAAACTCGCTTGTGTTATTCTGTTTTTCAAATAGCTTCTGGACTCATACATCTTGTACACATCTTTAAACCTGGACGTCACTTCAAGTCGACTCTACCTTGCTTTCGTCAACTTTAACCCACCACAGGACCTCTGACTTTAACTCTGGACTTCCTCTTATTGTCTCCTCTCTGTTCCTTGTTATCCTAGCCGTGCTGTGTAGCCAACCCTATGTCAGTGTTCCAGACTTGAACTATTAATCATTTTTGTTTTCTCTTTACACCTTTGAGACTT